GTTTGAAGACCCTTGCTTTAGACATATATCAAAGGGTGAATGTCAAATTAAAGACTTCTAACAAACACTGTTTGGTGATTCCCTGATCATGGTCTTCTTGTTGTGCCATATCTGTCATCGGACATAGGCGATCATGTTGGTGATCCTATTTTTATCAACAGCCACGCAAAAAAGTGCTGCTGAGTTTTGTCCAAACCAGTCCCTTAGATTTTGAAGCCATGATGTTCTTCTTCTTCCTGGACTTCATTTGCCTTCAATCTTTCCCTAGAGGATTAAATGAAGTATGGTGTATTTTTCCAGGTGTCACATCACATGTCCGAAATATTTCTAACTTTCACTTTTTAATAGTTTTGATTATTTTCCTTTGCTTTCCCAGGCGGCTTATCACTGCTGATTCCTCGATACACACAAATAACTCAGTAGGCTTTGGGGGATGAACAACAGTGTAGAACTACAGTCTTCAATGTATGACAATGAGTTGCATTTTCCATTGCTCAAAATTCTTGACCTGGTGACTTCCGGCTTGTGGTGCTTCGGTGCAGGCAGGATTCCGTGACTGTGCACGGTTTCTGCCTGTGTTCACTGCCTGAGTGCCTCGAGCCATTTGGCTTCGGGGCTAAGCCACCTTTGTAGAAGGTGGTGAAGACTGGAGGGTTCTGGCAGGGACGAGAGACATTGCATCTCTCTTCCCTAGCCGGCTAAATCTCCCTCTCCGATGGCAACTGAACGGCAGTCTCTGGCCGCCATTTAGAAGAGCCCAGCCGGGGAAAGGAATGTGCTGGAGGGGTTTGTGAAGAAATGAAACTGATTTTGCTGACCGGGACAAAGGAACAGTGAAAGTATCCTGGTATTTAACACCTACTAAAGACACATTGCTCCCAGACTGAGTAAGCAGCGAATGGATATCAAAGGGAAAACTTTTTTTCTTTTCACTCTCCTTCCAAACGGAACAGCTTTGAGAGAAATCGGAAACCCGCATTGAAGGTATGCTAAATGCTAAAGACTATGCTAATGCTAAAGGGATATGGATTTGTTTTATCAATGGTTGGACAAAAAAACATGGTAATGTAATAGATTAGATAATTTTGTAATAGAAGTTCAATAAATTGATATAAAATATAATATAGACATATATAACCATTGGATGAAAGTACAATATAAATTTCAAAATAAAATTTGGAATATCTTGTATAAAATGATGGAATAAATAGTTTAGGCATGGATGATTAATAACTGATAAATATATAAGCATAAGCTAGTTTGACAATGTGAAAATTTATATAAACTGTGAGTAATGACTACGAAAGGATAGCACAAAAGATTTGTAACCAACTGACACACTGTATGTATATAAAATGGAAGATGGTTTTATGTTTTTATGTTTTGTCTGTATATGTTTGTCTTAAAAAATAAAAACTTTTATATATATAAAAAAAAGGCTTGTGGACTTCAACTCCCAGAATTCCTGAGGTAACACAATTGGAGGAGGAATTCTGGGAGTTGAATCCACAAATCTTAAAGCTGTCAAGTTTGAAGGCCCCTGCTAAAGATGAAAAATGGCTGCAGGAAGTGGGTGTGGCTAGTCTAGAAAAAATAAGGTCTAGGGTTGATAGCAGTGTTTCAATATTTGAAAGGCTGCCAGAAAGATGAGGAGGTCAGTCTATTTTCCAAAGCACCAGAAGGCAAGACAAGAAATAATGGATGGAAATTAATCAAGGAGAGAAGCAACATAGAACTAATTTCCTGACATAATTCTGGGAGTTGAAGTCCACAAGTTTCCTTGTGGACTTCAACTCCTTATTCTCTATATTCTCCTTATGACAGACCTTGAATTAGAGGCTTAGCCATCCAGTCCAATAATTGCAATGGCTAGGCCCTAGAAGGCTGGGAGGCAAATAAGTGACCATTTGCTATCAAGTATCCCTGCATGTGCTAGATGCATTTGGCAATTATTATATATCTGTGTCTGCCTGCTTAATTGTCCCATCTTGGTTTCTGTCCTCATTTGAGTATCCTTTTTCAGGTCATGCTCTTGTGCTGTCACAGTGCCAAATATTTGGATGTGATTTCTGATTTAACAGTGACCCTAGATGGATCCCAAATAAAGATTGTAGGGCTCTGCTTAGGACAAAGTTCTACTTTTCTGCAGTGAAATCAAGATGTGTGTGTATGTATGTGTAAGGAAAATCAGTCTGTCTTTTCTCTTTTGTGAAAGCCTGCCAAAAGAGCAAATAATAAGAAATTCCTGCTTTTTCTTTATAAATCTTCATATTAACATTTTTGTAGAAAGATTAAATTAGCTGACCTTGTCTATGTTCAGAAAGCTAAGCTGGGTTAGGTTTGATTAGTACTTGGATGGGAGGGAGACCATCAAGTAATCAGTGAAGAATGGGAAGTAAAAATAAAACATTCTGGAAGAAGGCAGCAGCAAAGTTTCTGTGCTGTTGCCATGAAAACTGAACAATTGTGCTCTGTGTATCAGTGTGTTCAGGAGTATGTAATTACACACCTATAAAAAAGAAGTACCCAGGGAAATTTGATGAACTGCATGCTGAACTTATCTACTCTGATATAAACCAATACATTTGAGATGAGAGAATTTTGAATCTGGACTATGTCCATGCAGAGAGGGATTAATTGAAATAATCAGATATATCTTATTCTACGATGCATTTTATGTTGATACCTGTTGTGAGCTACTAACCCTGAATCTAATCAAATTCCCTAATCATTTTTTTTATCTTATCTATTGATACAGTGTCATTCTGCTACACATACAACCTTGACCTAATGTCAGGACACCTATGAATGATTGACTACAGTACAAACCAGCATGCTTCTGATGCAATTACAAAGTTTTGTGTGGCTACTTTGGGAATCTACTAACAAATGAACCAAAAATGTTAATTGTATGTTTTACATGTTATGGTGTATTTTTTAATTGTATTTTATCTCTGATCATAACTCCATAGATTTAAAACAGAGATTTTTTCCCTCTATTTCTACATCATTTGTTAAATCAGAGTTAAATTTTATAAAGTTTAACTTTATTAAAGTTTTTATACTATTTTTATTCTATTCTAGTGTTTCTTAAGCTTTTTCTTTCAGGATCCCTTCCTACTTTTAAAAAAAATATGGTTGATTCCAAAGGAGCTTTTGTTGGATTATATTTATAAGCAATTTATATTGAAAATGAAAATTGATTCATGCACTACAGGTAGCGGCTGACTACAACTGGGACCAGAATTTCCGTTGCTAAGCAAGGCGGTTCAGTGAATCATGCCCAAATGTATTGCTTCCCCCCCAGATGTTAAGTTAATCACTGCAGTTCTTAAGTGAATCATGTGGTTGTTAAGCAAATCTGGCTTCTCTCACTGATTTTGCTTGCCAGAAGCCAATTGGGAAAGTTGCAAATGACAATCACATAACCTTAGGACTGCAACCAGGGGTGGAATGCTACTGGTTCTGCCCTTTTCCTAGTATGATTTGATTTTCCTAATATGATTTGATTGCTTATTGTACCCTATGACTATCATTAAGTGTCGTACCTTATGACTCTGGACTCTTGACTAATGTATCTTTTCTTTTATGTTTTACTGAGAGTATTTGCACCAAGACAAATTCCTTGTGTGTCCAATCACGCTTGGCCAATAAAGAATTCCATTCTATTCTCTGAAGAGCAGCAGACACTGAACCGGTTCTGTGTTTGCTGCTGTTTTCGCCCACCCGCCTGCCTGGGGTCTTACCTGATTTTTATTTCCTGCTTTTTCAACCTCAGCTGCTTTGCGTGGCACAGCTGAGGTTGAAAAAGCGGGAAAAAAGAGACTTTTCAAATGCTGTGCACCAGCGCGCAGTGCTTTTCAGCTGTCCGGACAGCACAGCTTAATGTTTTTTTGCATGTACGTGCAAAACGTAGTCACTGAACCGGTAGTAACACCGGCTGAATCCCATCCCTGACTACAACTGTCCTAAATACTGTACATGTCAGTTTCCAAGCATATTGATCACATGATCATGGGGATGCTATGACGGTCTTAAGTGCTAGGACTGTTAAAACTTTTTTCGGTGCCATTGTAATTTCAAACGGTTGCTAAAAGAATGGTTCTAAGTTAAGGACTACCTGTTCTGCTACCAATTCTTATGATGGCTTGATTTTAATGTATTTTTTAACCCACAGGTTGTCTTCATTTGGAGGATCCAAAGATCTCGGGGGACCCTCAGGGTGCTTAGGACCACACTTTTAAGACCGGGGTCTCCAAACTTGCCAACTTCAACTTCCAGAATTCCTCAGCCAGCCATGTTGAAGTCCACAAGTTGCCAAGTTTGGAGACCCCTGCTTTAGGAAATACTATACTCTTGCATTTCCTACTCTATTTTCATTTTTTGGTTAACAGTCTCATTTTAATATTATGGGCCCATGTGCAATCATCGTGGTGTTTTAATATTATTGCATCATCTTGGCAATGCTAGCCTTTAGATTTTTTTTTTTTTTACTATCTCGTAGGTTTTATTGTCAGGTTTGAAATGATCGTAGTTCTTAAATTGCTGTTACTTTTTATTGATATCCCCGCAAAAAAGATTTTTGTGCAGCTCAAGCTCAGCAATTACATGAATCAAGGCGATGTAAGATCAACCCTATTTAAATACAGCCTTCTGTGCTAATGTTTTGACGTCAGGTCAGTTTACGATGCCACTAATGACAGGGCGGCGATGACACTTCTTGCTGCTGTTGTGCTTGTCCTTCTGCAAAGCCAGCACTTCTGTCAAGCGCTCTTCATGAGGGCGGGAAAAGAATGCTAAAACAGCCAATCGGTGACCGACAAAACCCTCGCTTCTGCCCGAAGCCTTCCCAGGGAGACTCCCATTGATTGAAATCCCAACTCTTCTCCAATAGGATTTACTGATCTTCATCGGGCTTCCTTGAACCCACACGGAAGTATGTTCACTTGTGATAGGGCGCAAGGGACAGCTGATGCTCGGAGCCAATAGAAAGAGAGATTGCTCTGGGGTCTCAAGATGGCCGCGCGCAGGTCTCTGAGGAAAGGGAAAGGGGCCGGGATAGAGTGAGCCCCGAACCTTTCGGCCTTGGTTGGAGAAGAAATCGGGACCTGCCGGTCGAAATCGGGCATCGGATCCTGTGCCCGTTCGCCGCTCCCGTTGCGGAGAAGAAGGGCTATGAGGTGACGGGAAGATGGCGAGCGACGCGGGGAAGAAGCAGTTTTGGAAGCGGAACGCGTCTCGGGTGCCGGGCAGGTAAGCGGGCGAAAAGTTGCGGGGTGCCTAAGCGGGAGCGTGTAAGGCGGTCGGGCTCTACGGGCTTCTCCCGGGGGGGAAAGTAGGTGGGCGTTTTCATTTTGAGCAGAGGCACGACGGTGTCGCGTCTCCTTTTCCGCCTCCCCGTTTCGCAAGGCGTTCGGTTCCTCAGGATATGAAGCGATGGCTTTGGAAACGGGGGGTGGGGTGGGGTGGTTGGAAGAAGCCGGGGCTTGAGGGCGAGGGCGGCGGCGGTTGTTCTTCGGCACCCTGGCTCTACAATGGTGATGAGTTTGCTGGAAGTATTTATTTATTTATTATTGATTTTTTTTGTTTGTCAAGCATGTATGAGAAAACAAGTATAAGTATGAGCATAACATATAAGCATATAAGTATAAAGAAGTATAAGTATATACATAACCAATGAGTAAGAATAAATGGATAAATGGGAATAGTAAGGCAGGGACAGTAGGCACGCTGGTGGGCTTATGCACGCCCCCTTACAGGCCTCTTGGGAATGGAGTGATGTCCATGGTAGACAGTTCGAGTTTGCTGGAAGTACTTTGCCAATGTTTCCAGTGAGAAACGAGGACCTGGCAGGGCGGTAGGAGCAGTAACTAGCAGAGGTGAGACTTTATGATGATCTTGGGTGGAGCCGCTACCTTTAAATCAAGAATAAAGTATCAGGTAAATAACTTTTAACACGACCATCCAGAGGCAAGGCATCTCTCGGTGTCAATTCTCGGAGCTGTTTTCGTTTCTTGCTGATAGATATTCTGAAAGCATCGTCAAGAAATTAGTTATGTGTTTGGACACTGTTGTGTTCTTGTTACGGTTGAAATGATAAGATAAAAACAAGAATGGACAATAAAGTGAAGCAGTCACCGAAGAAGAAATTACTTCATGTCCTTCTTGGATTCTGTAAGGTATCCCTAAATTCTGAGGCCCAGGGGAGGCTTTTTATTTTTGATTTTCTGAAGCCTCAGAATGGAGTGCTTTGGATTTTAATCTGAGAGGCCGTAAGTATATTTTGCATTTCTGTGACCTGGCCACAAAAATCTGTGTTTTTTGGGGTGGGGGGAACCCAATTCATAAATATCTCATAGAGAAAGCTGGCTCTTTAAGTTCAGTTGGCAACAGTATTGTATACAAGTTAGTCTTCCACTTAACAACCATTTGTTTATTGACAGGTCAAAGTTACAACAGCATTGAAATAAGTGATTTATGATTTTTTTTCACATGACCGCTGCAGCATCCCCCTGGTCACGTGATCAAAATTCCAAATTCCCTGTGAGTGTCATGTGCTTATGACAGTTGCAGTGTCCTGGGGAAGTGACACTTTCTGACAAGCAGAATCAAAGGGAAGGCAGAATCACTTAAAAGTTTTTTACCAACAGTAGAGACCTTCAAGTTTCTATAATCTCTCAGGACTTGAAAGGAACACCTAACATTAGAACCATCATTAAAAAGGCATGTTCTTCCTGTGTCAACCAAGGAAGCTCAGATTGTCCAAGAATCTGCTGATCAAGTTCCACAAAGGAATTATCGAGCCTGTCATTTGTATCTCTATAACTGTCTGGTTTGGCATAGCAACCAAACAGGATAGGTATAGACTTCAACAGATAGTAGATTGCAGAAAAAAGAAGGCAGGGTAGTTGCAGAAAAACAATAGCTACTACCCTGCCTTCCATTGAGGACCCCAATACTGCACAAGCCAGAAAGAGGGCTGAGAAAATATCTACAGACCCCTCATAACCTGGACATAAACTGTTTCAACTTCTCCCCTCAGGATGCCTCTGTAGGCCACCGTATGCCAAAACAACAAATTTCTTCCCCCGTGCCATCACTCTGCTAAATACCTAACTTCCACAGCACTATCTTACGCCTAACACTATTTACCTATGTAGTACATTGTATTGCTATTATTCTTCTCATCTTTTCCATCTTCTCATCTTTCTCACCTGTCATCTTTCCTACTACCTTTTCCTATTGGTATATTATGCTTTATCAATTGTTGTATCTTATGACTTATCACTTTGTTGTTTGTAGGTACAGTGAGAGCTTATGCACTGGAGACAAATTCCTTGTATGTCCAATCACTCTAGTTTCTAGTCTCTTTTGATTGCTTCTCTTTCTATGATTTCTATATTTCTATATTTTTAGTCTATTCACAATTTCAGTGATTCACTTTACAACTGTGGCAAGGAAGTTGTAAAATGGGGTAAAATTAACTTAAAAACTGTCTTGCATAATAGTGAAGCTAAAGCAAAAAACTTAGACTAGTAGGAATAAATTAGATTATATAGCATAGAATTTTGGAGGGTTGAAACATCACAGTTTGTTGAACATTGTCCCTTTAATTTTTCTGTTAAGGTGAAAAATCATACCTCGCATCCTTATCTATGATGGAAAAGCAATTATCAGAACCTATTATTGGTTATTTTCTCACAAAGACCTTGAATTGGAATGTAGGAGGCATAGTTTTGTCGGGATTGCTTGGATTTAATTTGGATTTTTAGGAATACATTTTCATTCAATGTTAGAAAGTCTTCTAGGAACAGAATAAAAAAAATAAATTTCTCCATTTCAGAATTAGAGAAGTTCACCTGGAAAATTACAAGCTTTTTTGAAAATCACAACTAAGGAATGGTGAAAGGAGAGAGTAAGATAACAGAAAGCTTTTGGATTTGACCCAGTCTTATTGGAAAACAATCTAGAGGCCAATGTTAATTGATGAAAATGCGGGAAGCATTGTTATAAGATAATGATGAAACTGGGCATTAAAAAGATTCTAAAGGCAATTTGACCAGAAGGTACTTTAGCCAAGAGATCTGGATTGCTCTTCATGCACAGGCAACAGAAGGTGTTGATAACAGAAAAAGGAGTTATCCTGGAAGATCAAGATGGGTATTTGCTCAGGTTAGAGGGAGGAGCCATTAAAAGCTTCTTTGCTAGGAAAAATATTAAATGATTCCTTTATAACCAAGCTTTACATACAATGGAAGGTATAATATTAAGCAATTGCAGCTTACTGTATTGTAAATACATTTAGTAAGGAACACTGTCACAGTTTTAATCAAAACAGGCTACTATATGTAGAGTACTGAGAGTAGTTTTGGGCTTATCTATAGAACTAAAGTTATGAATTAGAGAGTTTATTTTGATGGTAATAATTAAAGTTTTTAATAAAATATTAAGTCCTTCAAATCTTCAAAGTGCTTCAAATCACTGGTAGTGATTGTATAAACTTAAGTCTTACAGTTCTCAAACTTGGAAACATAATCTGTTAAGAAATCAATATGTATGCACAAGTATTTCATAATTATCATACACATATTACAATATAATAAATAATACATATTCAAACTTGTCACAATAGTTTGCAATACATAACCAACTCCTCTCAGAAAAACTTTCTAGCTGTTAAATCTTTGATAGGAAGAGACTTCAGTTGAGTAAAATATATTTTCATAATAACTAGTTAATATTTTGAAAGGAATAAGCTTTTTGGGAAATATAAATTTCGAAGAGCAACAAATCATTGGATTACTATAAATCTGGATGATTTGCTTCACATAGTTCTTTATTTTGGGTAGGAAGAATGTTACATCAGGTAGAATATGATATTTCTAAATTTTAGCATGGCAAATTGAGATGAAGGCTTGGAATGAAGAACGGACTTGGATGTAGACAATAAACTTGTATGATACCTTCCAGAGTCGTTGAATCTCCTCCATTAAATGATAACGTCTGCCAGAATAACTTCAGCATCTTCGTTGCACCTGAAAGCATTTTAATAATACAAGGTTTATCAAATCTCTTTTGCCTACTTCGATATAATATAAATAAAAAATTTGTTAACCATTTATGACATTTATGTAGATTGTATACAATTTTCAGTGAAATAACAAATGTCAGGATTCTGGCAGTTACTCCAATTGAATTATGAGGAGCCACACTCCCAAAACTTCAAGGGATTTATTAGAAGTCAACATGTCGGCATGATCTGGGCGTAGCCGATTCTGAGATACGTAATTCACTGTCACCCTTGATCCTGCTTTCCCCCCCACCCCTCTGGGTGTATCATAATTCATATTCTTCAGTGTAACACGTCCATAGCCAAGAGTCATGCTCTCCAATTAGATTTTCGCACAGCAGAAGCTTCAGTCATCTAATAAGTCTCTGAAGAAAATATGAATGGAATGAATATGAATGGAATGTACTTACACTGCTGCCTGCTCTTTGAAATCCCCTCCTTTTCTGTTGACAACTATACAATGTGTATAGAAAATGTTTTATGAGTTGACAATAAAATCAAAAAAGGAAAGAAAAATTATTCCAGGAAAGAGTAGAGTATAGCCTTTCTTATAACATATACTACATTTCAATTGCAGCATTCAGTTATTACATTTTAAAGTGAGGGTTAATCAGGGTTGTTTCTATGAATCAAATTCCTGCTGAGTTTTATTTTCTCAGTAATAATGATATTTTGCATTCCGAATAACATAATTTATTAGTGCTTAGGGAAGCAGCTATATGGAATGCAAAGGTTTGCTGACCATTTTAGAAAGTCTTTATTTCAAACCTTGCATAGTGGTAAATTTAGTAGCTGTCCAAGACTATGTGACCAGTAAGCAATGGGTTGGACACACTTGCTCTAAGTACTGTTCTTTCTTAAGTCTTCTTCAACAATAAACTAGCTTTGGGGGGAATTTTTATCAATTTGATTACTATTTTAGGAAACAAATAATAACTTTAGAAAATGAGTGATAGATTAAAAAAATACATCAACATTGATCCCACATTGGCTACATTGATTCTAGCCAATGGAGTAGATTGTAAAATAATCTGTTCACATATGGAGATAATTGTTTTCTTCAAATTTCCTTTTCATCTGTGTTCACTTTCCACTTTCACATAATTCTTAAGAATTCCCAAAAATGGATTATCAAAAGCAAGAAGAGCCCCTTCTATCAAATCTTGCCATTGTGATTCTGGGCAGCCAACAGTTCATTAAAAGCAACGACAAAATCTGCATGAGATAACTATATTTGCTAATAATTTTTTAATTTATTTATTTTATTTATTTATTTCATAGGCTTAGACTAACCTCCTGACTCCTATGATCAGTAATACAACCAGATCTTTAAGGCTTTCCAAAGGTTGTGGCCAGCCTAATGTTAGCCTTTTGTGTGTATTAGTATTATGTAGTGTACCTATTAGTTATAAAAACCAGCCTGTATCTTTTTTGGATGGTCTTTTTAACCAAGTTACAAATTTCGCTAGTAGATTTTTTCCTCCATTCAGAACTGGATGGTGGTAAGTGCTTCCATGGAAAGTGAGATAGCCAAGTAGTTGTTTTCGTTTCCCTCCTCCTCCTTCTCCTCCTCCTTCTCCTCCTCCTCCTCCTCCTCCTCCTCCTCCTCTTTTCAGTAAGTATTTAGGGCTACCAGATCTAGACTGCAAAAATCTGTTCATTAGATTCAGTAGCACAGGGATATTGGGTGCCTGAATTCTTTGTTGCCATCTAGAAATTGTCTTGATTTTTGCACTCATGGTAGTCAGGCTCAGAATTCTAAAGTTGCTGCTTTGTCCATCTGCAAGAAAGAAGGCAGTTGTATCATATTTCCAAGCTCTTTGTTTCATCTTGGAGTTAGGGATGAGATTGAGATTACTGTAAAGCTCCAGTGATGACCTATAAGCGTCTCCATATTTTGAAAGTTGTTAGGATCCTTTCATGTAGGCTGTAATCGGTATAATTATGAACTTGGTATTATGAAACCTGCTATAGAAAGTTATTGAATATGCCACATTCACATTTTGTGGATTTACTTCCAAGTATTAGAGACTTGCTGTAATTGAATTGAATATTATTTCTCTTATTTTTCTTTTTAGTATTCAACATGTATATGGAGCTCAGCATCCTCCTTTTGATCCACTGTTGCATGGAAAGTAAGTTTTTTTTTTCTTTTGTGGCTGAGGGACTTTATTTTTGTGAAAATCTTACTGCCTTATTTTAAGCTTTAGTAAATGCTTTAGTCTTATTCCTATTCTGCTTCTTTCTGGCATAAGTGTCCTCATGAATACAAAGGAATACCATTTTGGCTAGGTTAGCTTATTGAATAAATATTTAATGCCATGCATTTTAAAGAAGTAAGTAATCCTTTCTTGTTAAAAACTCAGAGATACAAATAGCCTAATCAACTGAGTCATATTCACATTTTTAGTTATAATGTTTAAACACAAAGTAACTTCATCATAATGTTTATAAATTACATTTGGTATCTGTTCTGTTACTGTACTATAGCTTAAAAGGAACTGCAGCATGCAATTTTAACTGTATTTTTTTCCTTCTCTTTACATAAACTGATGAAATTAATTAACGGATTATATATTGTATTAATATACTATTAAAATCATAACATAACCTTTAATTAGGTGAAACAGTGCATTATAGGGAAAAGGTTTTTTTTTTTAATCAAGGTACTTCATATGGGCTAACTTACAGAATGCATCTGAAATCCAGGACTGATGACTCTTGTGGAACTGAAATTTGGGAAACTATGATAAAACATTTTATAGCATAAAAATTATCATGAAACAATTTGTGATACAATACAAAATGTCATAAGATATTTCCTGTGCTTTAGTTTGACTATGCTATATCGTTCAAAATGGGCTGTTTTGAAGGCAGAGATACATCTCTGAATGTATCCCAACCTTTCCAGTGAAGACAGAACATCAGAAGCTCTGTTGTTATTGAAGGCACTGAGGAATCTGGCAAAGAAATACGTTTGAAAGGATGCCCCAAAAGTTATGAATTGTCTCGTTTCATTTAAGACTCTGCTCTGTTGCTTGCAAACAAGCCAGAATCTTAATTTAGCAATACATTCTGAATTGTTGTTTGCATCTCCTTTTATGTTGTGAAACTGTAACTAGATTACTCTTGCCATGACTTCTCCGTTTCATTTGATTGCATAAATAGAAAACAGAAATGAACAGGTTTTATGTACCAGCATGTAACTTATTCAACATAAACACTAAATCCTGGATTTAGTTGTATGTGAATACTGCTCATTTCTTTATGTAAAATGAAAGCTTTGTGATTTACTTTGGTGATACTAATGCTATATCCTTTGCCTATTTCCAGGCAGGAAATTCTGCTTTTTAACAAACACTAATTTGATTTTATATATGAACTATAATCTGGTTCATATTTATTTACTGCAGTGGTTTCATTTTCTTACTGTGAGAAATTGGAAAGGCATATAGAACATTGTCTCATTTTTTTCCCATTACAGTAAATTTGTGATAATTTGGGAATACGCAAGCCATATTTTAGGACCTTGGAATGGCAGTCTTACAGATTTACATTGCTCTATATGAGGGATGCACATTCATTCGCTGACTTTACTCTTTGTGAAGAAAAGCTGATCTGTTTTCTTCTAGTGAATTTACTGTGGACATCAGAATACATTCTGCTGATATGACGACTCTTGTAAGATATCATGTCAGGATATGTCAATATATCTAATGAATAGAGTTCAGTCTAATTCATAGCAGAGGTATTCAGCAGGTTCTGACCGGTTCTGGAGAACCGGTAGCGGAAATTTTGAGTAGTTCAGGGAACTGGTAGCGGAAATTTTGATTTGTTCGGAGAACCGGAAAATACCACTTCTGACTGAAGATTTTACAGTATCCTTCCCTTACCACGCCCACAGAACTGGTAGTAAATTTTTTTGAATCCCACCACTGATTCATAGATCAGAAAAGTAAACAAAGGATCCTTGTTGTGATAACAGAGAGAAACCATAGGCCCCTAGTCATTCAGCTATCTCAGTTATAATAGATTTTTCAACAGTGCTTGCAGTTCTAAGGAGTACTGTTTAGAGTCTCAGGAGTGGCAATTCACAGTTTATGGCTGCTTTTTCAGTACTGGTAGTAAAAGTTTATAAAACAAAAGTAAACATTAATTACTATAAGTATCTGGTAGTATTCCCAATAGAAAAAACTCCGGTTTCAAGTCTATATGCTTCTTTGTCATTTTTTCCAGCCACATGTGAATTTTAGTCCAATATTTTCTAGCATCCTCACAAGTCCACCACATGTGATAGTATGAACCAGGTTTCTGATGACATTTCCAGCATTTTTCGGATTTGTTCTTGAACATTCTTGCTATCCTTGTCGGGGGAAAATGCCACCTGTAAAACATCTTATACAAGTTTTCTTTATAGGCTGTAGACATTGTCATTTTATAATTTTGCGACCATAATTTCTGCCATTTCTCTAAATCAATCCCATATCCAAAATTCCTCCCCCACGCAATCATAGTTTCTTTAACTTGTTCTTCCTCAAGCTTAATTTGCAATAAATAACCATACAATTTTTTAATCATCTTTTCATCAGTACCCATCAAAATCTTATCCAAGTCAGTTTGCTTATCATAAAATCCCTCTGCTTTGGAATCCTCATAGTACTTTGAATGAATTTGCAAATATGAAAACCAATTCATCTGTATACCTTGTTCTTCCAATTTTTGCATCGATTTAAGTTCACCCTTTTCATCTAATAATTCCCCATAGTTAACTGTTTGTTCCTTTTTATAAATTATAGGATAAGAAAATGCTTCTATCGTCGATAACCAAACTGGAATTTTCAAATAACACTGTTTTTTTATCTTCTCCCAATTCAACCACAGAGACTCCCGTATATAATGTCTTCTAAAATACCCCTGTGTTTTAGTTCCCTTGTACCATAAAAAAGCATGCCAGCCCAACAACAAATCATGACCTTCTAATGTCAACAATCTGGTTTTCCTTAATGTTATCCATTCTTTGACCCACGTCAAGTTTGCAGCTTGATAGTATAACTCCCAATTAGGCAGACCAAACCCTCCTCTAAATCTAGCATCCTGTAAAAGCTTTAACTTTATTCTTGCTTTCTTGCCTTGCCATATATACTTCAAAACAATTTTATTTAAATCCTCAAAATATTCTTTTCCAAGCCTAATTGGTATTGTTTGAAACAAAAATAAGACTCTGGGTAAAATGTTCATCTTGATTGTTGAAATCCTTCCTATTAATGACAATTGTAAGTTCTCCCATTTTTTCAAATCTTGAGCTATCTGTTGTTTAAGTTTAATATAATTATTCTCCTTCAATGTACTACATCTTGATGTCAAATATATCCCCAGATACTTAACCTTGTTTGTAACTTGAATTTTTAACAGTTCTGCCAACTCTTCCCTTTGTTTCAGCAACATATTCTTTGACAAAATCTTTGTTTTATCTCTATTTATTTTCAAGCCAGCCACCTCCCCATAGACCTCTATTTTTTCCAACAGTTTCGAGGCTGTTTCTATAGGGTCTTCCAAGATAAAGACTAGGTCATTTGCAAAGGCTTGTAGTTTAAATTCTTCCTTTTTAATTTTCATTCCTTTTATAGTTTTATCTTCTCTGATATTTCTATTCAACACTTCCAAAGTCAATACAAATATCAAGGGAGAAAGAGGACAACCTTGTCTTGTGCCTTTTCTTATATTAATAGGATCTGTAAATTCTCCCTCCATCATTACCTTAGCTGTTTGTTCATTATAAATTGCTTCTATTGCCTGAATAAATCTTCTAGCAAAGCCCATCTGTTCCATTAAAAGTAACATAAATCTCCAATTCACGTTATCAAATGCCTTTTGAGCATCTAAAAATATCAAAGCCATTTGCTTTTCAGGATGCGCCTCATAGTATTCCAGGGTGTCCAGAATTACTCTCATATTGTCTCTGATTTGTCGCTTTGGCAAAAACCCATTTTGGTCTGGGTGGATAAAGTTATTCAAGTACTTTTTAAGTCTTTCTGCTAATATTGAAGCAAAAATTTTATAATCTGCATTTAGTAAAGAAATCGGTCTATAATTCTTGATTTGCAGTAGGTCCGCCTCCTCTTTTGGAATAAGTGTAATGTAAGCCTCTGACCATGTTTTAGGTATCATCTTTTTTAACATAACTTCATTCATAACTTCTAACAGTGGAATACACAGTGATTCTTGAAAGATTTTATAAAATTCTACAGGAAACCCGTCTGGACCTGGTGCCTTTCCATTATTTTGTTTCTTAAGTGCTTGACTTAACTCCATCATTGTTATATTACTTTCTAGCATTTCTTCAATCTCTTTAGGTATCTTAGGTAGATTTGCATTCTGCAGGTATTGTTTAACTTTCTCCTCATCAATGTCTTCTTTCTTATACAAATGCTTATAAAAATCATAAATAATCTCTTTTTTTTCTTTACTGCCATAGCAAATTTTACCTTGGTCGTCTATTAACTGCGGTATTTTCCTCGACTCTTTCTCCTTTCTCAATTTGTATGCTAGCCATCTACCTGGCTTATTTGCATCCTCAAAATAATTCTGTTTAGCATTCCTAATTTTCTGTGCCAGTTCTTCTTTCTCTATTAAGTCCATTTTATGTTTAGTTATATCCAGTTTCATTTTAACATCTTTTCTGTGTGGCATTTTCTGTAATTCTTTTTCAAGTCCCTTATATTCATCATCCAAGGCTTTAAGAGTTCGCCTTTTCCTGTTATTCTTTTTTCTTGTATAGTCTATTATCAAGCCTCTAACATAGGCCTTCATTGTGTCCCAAACATTCTGTATTGAGGTGTCTTCTTTTCTGTTCTCTTTAAAAAAGAAGGCCAATTCTTTCTCCATCCATTGTATAAATTCCTTATCCTTTAAAATAGAATTATTTAATGTCCATCTCGATCTTTTCCTTTGTCCCTTCCATTCAATTGTCAATGGGTTATGGTCAGCCCAAGTACTTGTTTCAATATTTACTTCTTGAATACTAGACATTAAACCTGTTGAGATCCAAATCATATCTAGTCTGGACCATGATAGATGCCTATTTGAATAGAACGTAAATTGCTTAGATTTATCATTTCTTTCTCTCCATATGTCT